ACTATCCAAAGGAAAATGGTCAATAAAAGGTGAACTACAGTTGTCAAATAAACAAACTAGAACGCAAAATTACTGGAAGCTCAGTAGGGGAAGCTTTTGAGTGATTGATTAACCGGGGAATGCTGCTAATTCATATTGGGGACAACCAATGTTTTATAGTAAATGGTCATGAATTATGTTTAATTAAACTTGAATTTGCGCGTAAATTATGGCACTTGAACTTTTATTGTTCCCTATGTAATGTCATAACCTTGTGGTTGATCACATTCATTGGTCAGGTGAATTATTTAGTCTCTTTAATAATTCTTTGGCACTTACAAAAGATAGTAGTACTAGAATTCAAATGGTCACTTGATTATGTTTGACCTGTTCATGTGACATTATCCTGTCCCAACCTCTTGCTCCCACCCTCTCAGGGAGTGTATAACCATGAATATGTAAGACTTGTTTAGAGGAGCTTGTGACTTGTGACGAGTGTGTGCTTTTGTTGGGAGCTAGTGTGCTTTCCTAGTTCTATCTCACTGGAAAAGCAATATTAGAGAACAAACATAAAGGAATCGCATCTTCAGCTAATTGCTGTTACATATATTGTGCCTTCTCTCCTCTAAAGCTTAATGCACCAAGGGGTCGTTTGGTTAGAAGACAAGTTATGCATGGATTAACAATGCATGTATTAGTATTTTCAAGGAAAAGACAAATTAAATCTAAAGAATGAGGAGCTTTTTGTCAAATTTTGTTCAATCCATGTATTACTTTACCTGTATTCTTATTCTATATTCTACCCTGCATAAAATAATAAGTAGATTCCAGCATAACTTATGCGAGTATTATTTCATGTGGAAAACAAAAGAAGCAACTAAAAAACGTATATAATTGTTTGGAGTTTAATGCAGTGATGATGTTTCTCTGTGCGCCTCTCTTGGCCAATGGTTCGCATTTCCTGCCGTATGTATGTTTTTTGTCGTTGTAACGTACCATGATGGTTCCTTCTCTGGCATAATCATTCATCTGTACTTGGGTCCTAGCGGTTCTGTAGCACTTCTTGTTACTGTGAAGGGTATTATTTCTGATGCACTGTTTACCGCTTTTTCCACAAATTGCTTGTTCACTGGCACTCAAGGAACCAAATTGGTAGCTACATTTTAGCTTTTTCTTTCTTAGAGAGAGAGAGAGAGAGAGAGTATTGTAGCTTTTATGCATCTTTATGTAGAAAAGACAGCAGAATGTCTACTTGAAAGGAAAAGGGTTGGAATCCATCTTGCTTATGAATATTGTTGAAGAATCTGTATATTTTCCATTTTAGTTGTATCTTCCTCTATTTGGATATAGAATTTATGTTCAAAGGTTTGTGCTTGATGGATAGTTGATATCCATGTTAATGGGAAGTAATTGTTTCCAGGTTTCCAGTTCTGCTGATAAAGCTAAGCAACCAAAAGCCACAGCTAGGGCAAATGAGATGGTTGGCTTAGCTAAGAGTATGCAACAACCTTTTTCCACTCAACTTGCAAATCAGCCCCGTAGTGGACAAGTCAGATCGGAAGCTCCAGCTACCTCTCATGGCAAAACTCTTCTGGTTCTGAAGCCAGGACGGGAAAACGGTGTCACCTCTTTATCAAAAGAAGCACTGAGTCCAGCTAACAACACTGGCGGTAGATTAGCTAATTGCTCTCCTGCAGTGGCTCCTTCAGCTCCTGCTTTGACCAGTCCAACTTCGAGGGTGACTTCCCTTGAATCTAAAGCTGCTACATTGTCGCTGAAAGCACGATCTACTGCAGAGAAGAGATCTTCTCTGTCTCAAGCCCAAAGCAGGAGTGATTTTTTCAATCTAATGAGGAAGAAGACTTCATTAAATTCTTCTACTGTCCTTCCAGACTCTGGTATGGCTTCATCTGACAGTAGTGAGCAATCTGGTATTAAAACTAAAGATGAGGATAGTGCCTCATTGAGTCCTTGTGTTTCTGAAAATGGAAGTGAGAGAACCAGCAATGGAGATGCTCATGAATCTCAAAACGATGTTCAAAGACATAATGGTATCGAGGAGAACAACTTGTCCATAAATGGAGCGCTATATCCAGATGAGGAAGAGGCTGCTTTCCTACGTTCTCTTGGTTGGGATGAAAATGCTGGGGAAGACGAAGGCCTGACAGAGGAAGAAATTAATGCATTTTATCAGGAGGTAACCAACTCTACTTGCTGTTTTCTATGTTATGATAAGAGATACTTCCAATGTTAGATTAGTTATGTTAAAAGATAAGCCATGATTAAGTTGTTTTGCCTGCGAGTTTGATACTAGTGAGGATTCGTGGAGAATGTTCATGGCATATGTACCTGAACATGACCCAAAGTAGGAGATAGCCGGGTATTTCCACAGAGAAGTCTAGCACTGGCTTGCCCAAAGCGTTGAACATAGAGAATTAAGGTTGTCTTACATACACACTGGTGGAATTTCATTTTCTTCCGCTTTTTAGAAGGCGTAGCATTGGAACTGCTATGTAGGCTTTTGTTTACCGAGGGTTCGAATCCCTCTCTTTCCGTACCTTCGCTTAATTCACCAATTTTACTAACAACAAGGGCTCAAAGCTTGTTTTCCCTTCAGACTGTGTTTGACTGAACTCCCTACTTTTGCAGTATATGAAACTGAAGCCTTCCTTGAAGGTGTACAAAGGTGCCCTGCCAAAGTGTTTGATGCTGCCTGAGATGCATGTTGCTACTAATCGTGGACCTGCTTCTTCCGAGTCGACTTCTTCTGAATCTGATGCTTGAATATAGTGATTTCGCATGTATGGATGCACACAATTGGGTTTATCAAGAGATACATCTCTTCTTTTTGTGATCTATTTAGTTTTGGAGCATCTCTGATGCATGTTGACAAGTGGAGGGTGGCTTTTGGAATTTTGAAGTTCAGAGAAGAGAAATAAGTTAGTCTGCTGCTGTCCTACTGGCTCAAAAGTAAGCTAATGTATCAAAGGTAGCGTTTTATAAGTAGAGTTTAGGAAAATGTTAGTCTGCAGTGGATAATGCTGGGCAAATTGCTTCTTTTTGGAAATTTTTTTGTGCTTTTCCTTTCCAGTATCAATTGAAAAGGAAAGAGAAGGTTTTACGTTGTTTTGGTCAATTTTACGGGGAAGAAGGAAAATTGCAAAGTTCATTATAGAATTTTCTTTTCAGTCGTAATCGCAAAAGCTCGTGTTGATATAATCCTATCTATATTTTTGTCTTTAACTGTTTGGCTAAGGTTCGTTATGATATTAATATTTTCAATTGCAATCGGCTCACTTCTTAGAGCAGTTTGATGGATGTAGTAGGTGGCAGTGACGGGTAGGGAGGATTACAGTGTGCATAGTTTCTGTTGAAGTGCTTTGACTGGTGGCTCTGTTGTTGGAGCATGTATTTTCCTTCAGTGATTGATCGGCTTTCTTAGAGTTGGAAGTAATGTAAATTGCCTTTGACTGGTTTTCTTAAGCAGGTAATGAGGGGTTAATATTGCTTAATGGTGTTGAATCTTTTGAAAGAAAACTACACTATCCAGGTTCTGTTTAAGTATTAAAATTGCAATAAAAAACAGTAGGTAAATGGATTCAAGTTGCATTTTAACCTTTTAAGTGCCTGCCTCTTTTTTTTTTTTTTTCCCATTCAAAATTGCTCTCGTCTCAATGTCCTAAGACATTTTGAAAGAATTGAGAATGTCTTTCTGGACAGACGATTGACACCTCAATGGAGTAAAGATATTAGGGGTATGGAACTTTAATTCTAGTCCTTCTGCTTTGTTCTTAGGCAGACCCCCCTGTAGGCCTATCGACCAATGACTCGTGATCCCAACTTGCGTAATGGAAAAATTGGAGTAATAGAACAATTGATTTCGTTGTGGTGGTAAAAGATATCACGTATNTCCACTGGCTGCAAGGAAATAACGGATTGGATTTTCTAACTCTCTTTAAAGAGACTGGTTTCGATTTCACTTGCTTGCAAGCTTAGGGTTAGCAGGTTGTTGACTGGGAGAGCTGGTAAAAGAATAAAATCTTCAAGAGATCATGGTTAACAAGCCAGCTGAGGAATAACAATCTTCCTCAGCAATACCAAAAATCCATCCAAGGAATGAGCTTCCCCAAAGTTAATTCGCGTGGACTACAAAGAAAAGATAGAGTCTCACCCGGTAACATCAGCTGAGTCAATGGCAGAAAGTCTTGAAAAGAACCTTTTATTCGATGCTTCTGATTCAAGCTTATTCCTTTCCGCCTTTTGAATAAATCTAGAACCTCAATTAGCAGATTCATTAGAAACCTTTCGACCAACATAATCTTTGAATTTTCCGCATATATAACCAGCAGAGCTCTCGTATGAGCAAAGTAATGCCTTCGTCCTTTTTCTCCATGTATGCTTAGGAATCACACCAATCTATCCCGAATTTGGTGGTTAAACTCTACTGGTATGAGAAGGGTCCTCCTCTCCCTTGTCAAATAAAAATGACACACTATGTGGGCGGATGGAGAATAACTTTAAGGTCTACATTAAAGAAAAAAAAAGAGCAAAAAGGATAAGATTTAAGTGATTTTTGGTAGTTATTTTCAATTACAATAAAGTCAAATCGTCGTACAACTGTTGTTAGTCATAAAGAAATTAATCAAATATTACCTTTTTCAAATGTTTTCCTACATATTTACAATCTTCAACTTTGTGTAGAGTATAAGTTTCAGCTAATTTCTTATTTTATAAATTTACTTTTAGATATTTAGTCTCTTAAAGGCTGACAATTTTCCCTGAACGAAACTTTCTCGACAAGACGACCACCATTATTAAAAATAAAAACTAGACTAGAAACACGATTAAATCAATAGGAAAATCTGAGTAGCCTCATTGGCTTGTACTTTTAGCTGTCTATTGCGTACATACTAAGGTGGATTTTAGGCAAGGGAATTACAGGGTATTATAGTCATTCTCGCTCACGTCTATATATATATTCAAACCCTAGCAAAATCAATGGTATCGCTCAATCGCCATTTTCTAGTCTCTTATCATCTCGAAATGTAAGAATTTCCCTATACAGACGACCTGTAAATGTTTTTCGAGTATCTTCATTCTTCCCTCATCCTACTGATGTTTTAGAGAGGAAGATACTCAGCAAAACATTTACTGGTTACTTGTATAGAATCAATATATGTAGTCCGTCACAACTCAAGCACAATTTCATCCTCTCCAGATCCATAAAGTACCAAATCGATCGTATAGCTCAATCGCCGTTTTTCAGTCTCTAAAATTTCTCCTAGTTGTCAAAAGTTCGTACAGGTGACTTGTAAATGTTTTGCGACCTTCTAATATGATACTGGCAAAACATTTACACGTACCTTGTATGAACTTTTGATTCTAGCTTTGCTGAAGCCTTTTGATGGAGTACTGCTTTAACTCAAGTGGCCAATCTAAAAGGCTGTGATATTCACAGTCGGTGAGTTTAAAAAACACATTAATTGGTATAATGTTTCCATTGGTATGTTTAGAACACTTCCAAATGAGTTAATTAAACAAAATCAGCACTAACTCAACTGATTTTTTTGAGCTAACATGAGGGGAAAATTTAATAATTAATTGTTATTTTGATGTTAGACAGAGACGTCCTATGCTTTAATAGGAGTTAGCAAATCTCTTGGGATCCATAGCGAAAGTAGAGCACAATGGAAGAGAAAGATCTAGATAGGTGGTACGTATTAGTTGAGAATATGTTTTAGTCAATTGAGCACTTTTACTTTACATCCTATGCTTTTCTTGTAGTTGTTTAGCCTTTTAGAGATTTATGCATCAATTAAAAATTTAAAGAATCTTTAATACTTATTACATTATTTTTTGTTTTGTATAATATTGGCTTGAGATGAGTTTATATGGTGTAACATGGTCAGTAAGTATTCGTATAGCTTACATCCTGCTATGGATAGAAACTGATGACATTCAAAATAATTATTGGTATCTGGGGCATGGGAGGAATAGGGAAGACGGCAGTTGCACGAGCCATTTTTTATGAGCTCTCTAATTATTTTGAAGCTTCTTGTTTCCGTGGAGATGTAAAAGAATACAAGCATAGAGTGCACTCGTTGCAAATTACCCTTCTTTGTAAACTGTTTAGGGAGAAAGATGAATGTCAGTAAGGAAGTGCATGATAGCAAGTAGACTTCCTTTTAAGAAGGTTCCTATTTGTGCCTGATGACATAGATCACACACACCAATTGGATTACTTAGCATGGGATCTTGGTTGGTTTGGTAAACCCAGTAGAATGCATGATTTGATACATGATATGGGTAAATATGTGGTGAATATGCAAAAGATCCTGAACGTAGCAGTATGGCGCATTGAAGATTTAGAAGAAGTGATGATCCACAATATGGTAAGTAGGCACAATGCTATATTATTCAATTCTAAGTTGTTTAACAATCCAAAGGTATATAAAACACATTTCAATGATCCGTTCCTCTAGTTTCACGCTCTTGTCATGAATCATTTTGGTTTACTTTAATAGGAGAAGCAAAAGCAAAATTCATTGCCTGTTGCTTATTTCATTTTTTACATTTTTTTAATCCATGATTTGGACAAGTTTCTACTTGTTTTATTCCATTTCATTCTTTGAATTTACCTCACATTTGTATGACATTTTGTACATAATCATTCATTCATATATTCTATCATTGAATTAGAACGAAAGTACATGACAAATTTATAGGTCATGTCTTAATTAGGAATTCCTTCTATCAATAACAACAACAACAACAAACCTAGTATATTCCCACATGTGGGGTCTGGGGAGGGTAGTGTGTATGCAAACCTTACCCCTACCTAGTGAAGGTAGAGAGGCAAATTCCTTCTATCACTTAATAAAAAAACTTAAAAGACTGAGACTCTAAAGAACCTCTGAGAAAATGTTCTTTAGAAAATAGAATTGTGCAATTAATTGCTTGCGAAATAGTTCATTTGTTGAGCAACATTTTTCTTAAAAAAGGACCTAACCAATACGGTACCTTAAATTTTCCAATGGCGCTCCTCGAGAAACTGCTCGTGCAATAGTAAGGTTTAACCTTGATATTATAGGGTAGAAATATAACTAAAAGAAAGTAAAAAGGAATTTGGCATCGCGAGGAGTGAAAGTACTTATTTTTGTAGAGGGATCCTTGTACTGCATTTGATATTATACTTTGTTATCTTTTAAGCAGGGGGCCAAAGCAATGGAGGCAATCTGGATTCGTTGTCCCCCAAAACCTATTCTTTAGCAAAGGGCCATGAAAATTTTATGAACTCATCATGGATCAAACAGATGTTACACATAGATAATGTGATGATCCTTTTTGATCCATGATGACTGACAGATAATGTGATGGATGTTGTGAGTTGCCTTGATGGCTCTGTTGATTATTTGTCCAACAACTTGTGTTGGTTTGATCGCTATCCTTCGAAATCACGTCCATCTAATTTTGAACCCAATAGACTTGTTCATCTTCGACTCACACGGAGTTCACTATGTCAATTATGGAGAGGAACAAAGGTACAGTATTTGAATTTTATTTCCTTTTTCTTTCATCTCTAGTATCACTGTCTTTTTGTGATGAGTAAATAATTGTTGTTGTCCCATTTTCATTGACATATTTCCTAAATTGCATATCAGCTTTCTTACATTCCTTGCAATTTAATACTGTTCTTATGCTATTTCATATATGCTGTTACAATTTGGGAAATCAAACAACTTTTACTGTGACTATAATCTGTCAAATATCTTGAGTATTTTAAACTATAAAAGATTTTGATTTATAGTATTTTTGTATAAATGTCTCAAAAATTTAAGTCTGATGTGCTCACACCAAGATTACACGTTTTAACCTTTGAAATCAAAACCAAGTAATTATTTTGGGAGGGACAGTAGTTTTTCTAATACAATATAGGAACACTTGCACAAAGTCAATTTTTTTTTTTGCAGATAATGACGGAAACTCCTACATAAAATGTAATAATGATCTCCACAAAGTAAAACATGTCCTGTTTTTACTGAATAAGTTTTTATAACGTTTCTAGTCAATTATTTATAACATCTGAAAATTAGTTCAAGAAACTCATTCCATATAATCAAGGTTTTTCCCTTACCCTGTCAGTATCTAACAGAAGAAAAATCTAAAGAAAATATAGAGTATGCATAAAGACAAAATCTTACGGTGCTCTACTTTACGTTTTGTTGACCCCTGGTCATTATAAGTTCATTGACCTCTGATGAACTATAAATGAGCCCTTTTAGGCACAAGTTTAGTACATTATCTTTGTGCTCACCCCTTTAGGCACAAGTTTAGTACATTATCTTTGTGCTCACCCCTTTAGGCACAAGTTTAGTACATTATCTTTTTGCTCACCCCTTCCTATGTATGCATGGATTGGTAATATGGACTTTTTTGTTTGACTCACTATTGGCCTACTATCCAATCTGTGATCACTATAATTTATTCCTGAAACCATGGGAAGCACCATCCTTCTATGATTTCTTTTTAACTCTATTGTTAGTACTTGGCAGTTGTGCATGCTTTTTGTTTTTTGTCCATCTCTTTTTGGGTTGTCAACAGGATTTGTGGATTCTAAGAATGCTATATCTCAGCTACTCTATGTGCTTGATGGAATGCCCGAGTAGGATATAATAAGTGAAAGAGCTAACGTGGCATGATCGCAATTATAAGTGTCCTATTTAGTATAGGGATTTAGGGACTAGACTTGTTGAGGAACTGAGATGCTTCATTAGTTCTTGTTTCATTCATTTGCATTTCCCCCCATTCTTTTGTGCAGGAGATTGCTTTGTTAAGTTAGTTTCAGCACCAAAACACAGTACGGTATTATGTCACACCAGGTAATTGTTGTTATTGCTTCCTCGATTATATTTTCTTTGCTCCTTTCTTTGGGAGTTAGAATTGTTGTTCATCTTTCTCATAATTGCTTGTTCTGTTATATGCAAATTCGAAGTTGTTCTCACTTTCCAATAGGTCTTAATTTATGCAGTTCCAAATATGAGAATGGCTACCACGACACACCATGAGTATATTCTTAAACCTTCTTGGTTTATAGTGTGTTGTGTCTTATAGCTTGAAGGAAGTGTCTATTAGCTGGAGCTATTGGGGAGTGCTGAAAAATCCAGTAATCGAAGACCAAATTCAATAGCAGCTTCTGCACCCACTGATTTTTGCACCTTCTAACATCTCGAGCTTGATATTGTACTTTAATCTCAATTAGATGGCTATAACAGTCTGTCCCATGCTGTGATGTGAATGAATTATGTAAATTACTTTTTGCAATTTGTTGATACTTGAAGTTTTACCCAGGAGCCAAATATGTCTTCGTGCAACTTCATACATCCACTGTATGCAGCAAATCAATAAAATCCTTGATTGTTTTTATCCCTGAAATTTTTTCCAAGTTCTGTTCTTTAAGAGCTGCCATTCTTTGTTTGTTTATAAAACTTAAGCAATTTCGAGGGTACCTTACCATTTACTTATATCCCGTACATATATTTTGCAGGAGGTTGTCCCTTTTCTGTAATAGATGATTCTTTTATTTCTTTTGCAGCTGATGGATCTTTTAGACCATGGTCTAAAGATTATTCTAAGTAAATTGAAAATCTTACGAGAAAATATTAGATTAATTTTTTTAAATTTTTATAAGTTATTGCAAACGTTAGACCATAGTTTAATATTTTGTGAGCAAATTAAAAGTTCTATTTTAAAATAGATACAAAATCTAAATAGTGACCTGAGAAAAACATTTGCTTATAAAGGCCGAAAAAATAAGTGCAAACCGGTAAACTCCCTACTATATCAAAGCCTTAATTAATTGGAAAACTACCAGCTATGTCCATTTATAAGTACTCATTACAAAAATTGGCCAATTCATAAAATATTACTAATATTAGCCAATTAGCTATTTGTAGCAAAAAAAAGGTCAAATTTTTACTTTCTTTTGAGTGAGTGTTATTAGAATAGATTGGGTACATCTTAAGGAGCTTGAATCTCAGTTTTGGAATGATTTGATGAAGTTTTGAGGTGGTTTGAATTGAAAATTCGAAGTAAAAACTGAAAATGAAAAAAAAATGATATGTGTATCACACCGTGTATCATTTGTGTATCACATATGTATTATATTTGTATCAATTTTGTATCACATGTATACCTGTGTGTGAGATACATACGTGATACATGTTTGATACATGTGTCGCAGAAGAATTTTTTGAACTCGATTTAATTACGAATTTTGATACAAAACCAGTCCAAATCACCTCCAATCTTCCTCAAATTTTGTATATTGACCTATCTATATGTTTTCAATGAATTTCAACTATACCCATTGAAAATGTTTCTTTTTTCCTTAGATTTTTGGAATATTGTATTTTTTTTTTGTATTTCATCACCTTATTTGCTACCTCATCCATGAAATTTCCTTTCCGTCTTGCATCTAATTTTGCTAATCACGCTTAAAAATATGGAAGGAGATTTTTGCATGTGATTCTTTGAGAGAAAGAACCTTATTTATTTAATTTTTTAATTTTTATATGTGCTTGGCTAGTTTTGGTAAGTCTATGACTAATGGTTAGAGGTTGATAAGTTGAGACTTATTTGAGATATTTGTGTAAGTTTCCCTAATTAATTCTAGCCCAATTGGCTCAATTGCTGTTAGCCCAACACAAGAATGAAAAAAATAAGACACTTTAGTGCTACTATTGATTTATTTGTAAAAGATATTTGGGGGAAATGTCCCATACCAAAATTTTAAAGTTCGCTTGCCAGGATATTTTTTCAATTCCCAGAATTTTAAAGCACTCAATAGTTATGGCAATCATCAAGATTTTGCTACGAATCCTAATGGATCACCAGTCTTTTTGCATTTTGGCTGAAAATTCTGGTGATCGTCATAATTTCTGGTGCTGTAAATTTCTCGCGTGGAAAATTTTGCCGATCTTTAGAATATTTAGTGCTTCAAAATTTTGAGGGATGCTTCAAAATTCTAGTGAACGTATTTTAAAATTCAAACGCGATGCTATTTTCCTAAAAGTTTTCTTAATAGGGTAAAAATATAAAAAGTGATTTAGAAAAGGTCCATCTAGCGTAATTTTTAGCTGAAAAATTGGGTAAAGATAATTGGTCTTGCCGATTTCAATTTAGTCATACTAACTTGATACAATGCCCGCGAATATCTAGTTTGCCAATTTTGACTGAATTGCTACTTTATTATCCGGTTTAGCCATGTAGAGAACACTAGCTAGTGCAAGATGACTCCTGTAGAGCAATTAGGAGTTTTTCTTCCCTCGTAGAAGTTTGAGTCTTCCCTAACGTGAAAGAAGTCTTCTCTTTTTCAAACTCTTATTCCTATCATCTACTTGTGAATTTCTTCATGATCAAAGTCATAAATCTAGTGGTAATCTGTAACTTTGTCTCGTGAAGGAAGAAACGAGTATTGGTAAATCAGTAATTTTTATCTCTTTCACTTAAACAATGGCGGATAAGACTGAAAAGAGGTAGAGAAATTTCATCTTACCATCTGGTGAGGAAAATGCAATTGAGTTAGGGGTATAAGATGTTACAAGTAGCAAGGAGGAATATGCAAGAAGCCTATTTGGAAAGGTAACAACTGATAAACTGGTAAACTTTCAAGGTATTAAGAATACTATAGGCCTGCTTTGGGAAAATACCAAATCTTTAAAAGTATTAATTTGTAACGACCGACCGACCATTTAGTGTATTTGAACTCCGTTCTCCTATTCGATATTCCCCGTATGTGTATTTGATCTTTTGTGACTTGCGGGATGAATGGTTTGGCCTTCATGGGATTCGGAAGTGAATTGGAATACTTAGTTTTATTTTGAAAACCTTAAGTTTGAAGAGTTGACCAAGGGTTGACTTTTGTGTAAACGACCTTAGGTTAGTAATTTAATGACTTCAATAGGTTCGTATGGTAATTTTGGACTTGGGCGTATGTCCGAATTTGGATTTGGAGGTTCCTAAACGATTTCAAGCTTATTTGACGAAAGTTGGAAATTTGAAGGTTTAAAGAGTTCATAATTATGACCTAGAGTTGACTTTGATGATATCGAATTCAGATTATTATTTAGGAACTTGGAATAGGTGTATTTTGTTGTTTGAAACTTGTGTGAAAAGTTTGATTGTGATCCGGATTGTTTAGGCTTGAACTAGACGCTTGGTTGGAAGCTTGAAAGTTATTGAACTTAAGAGAGGTGCAACTTGTGATTTGATCTTTGATTCATATATGTGATGTTATTGTATGTATTTGGAAGCTTTGGATAGGTCCGGGATGTGTTTATGGACTTTTTTGGTATGATTAGGCAGGGTTTTCGATGGCTCGGGTGAGTTTATGGCCACCCACAACATTTTTGATGTTGTAGATTTTACTGGTGTCAGGTTTTTCAACACGATCGTGGAGTGTATTTTGGGGCTGGAAGCTATTGCCCTTTGGGTTCGCGGACGGCAGGGCGCAATCGCGTAGTTGTGTGAGGAAGGCCTTCGCGTTCGCGTGGGTTAAATCACATTTGCAAAGAGGCGCAACTGGCTGGGGGACGTGTTAGCCTTTGCGTTTGTGAAGTGTGCTCGCATTCGTGGAGGTTGGACTGCTTGTGCATCGCGTTCGCATGACCTGTGTCGCATTGACATAAAGTAACTCTGGGACAGTGACATGTTGTGTTTCACGATCGTGAAGCTTTGGGCTGTGAACACGAAGGCTTTACTGGGTAGTACATTTAAGTGAGGATTTCAGGATTTTTACTCATTCTCTTATATTTTAAACCCTAGACTTGGAGAGGAGCGATTTTGCTTGGAGATTTTCACACAAGACTTAGTGATTTTTACTAATTTATGAAATTATTTCTAGAATCTACAGGGATTATTAACACCTAAAATATGAAATTTTGAGGTAAATTTGGGAGTTTTTCTTACAACTTAAAAGGATGAATTTTTGGGATTTGAGGGTCGATTTGGACTTGGTTTTAGAATCTAATCACATATTTGAACTCATGAAGGTATAGTAGTCGGGATCTACCCCTTCACTTGAGTTTTGACCATGTGGGCCCCGGTTGACTTCTGTTGACCTTTGGAAATTTGATCAAAGATTGAAGCTTTATTATTTGGAATTGATTCCTATGGCCTTGCTTGACGTTATTGAGTTGCCTTTGGCTAGATTCGAGCCGGTTGGAGGAGATTTCTAAGGGAAAAGTGTTCTTGGAGTATTGATTTTGCTCGTTTGAGGTAAGTATCCTGCCTAATCTTATTGTGAGGGAATAACCTTTAGGATGTGACCTTATTTGGCTAATTGAAATATGTGAAAATGACGTATATGCGAGGTGACGAGCGTATATGCGGGTGCTATGTATGATTTCGACCAAATTAGAATTTAGGCTTCTATTATGCATTATTATTGTGAGTTAAAGACCATGTATAGGCCTTGATATCCTGTATGAACATGGTACTCGTTATTGTATAGCGTACCCCCTAATATGAATTGTAGTTGTACACTTTACACATGCATACACCTTAGCATGTTATTTTCCTCAGTCCATGTGTGAGTTGATATCCGTAGTTGTATAAGTGTGGTTCTGTTTTGTTTTCTTGTGATGGACTGGATTGAGAGCACGTGAGTTATCCATGCAGATGTTATGTTTATGATACATGAGTTATCTGTGCAACGTGTGGATAAAGATCCATCCCCCTAGGGTCGTCCTCTCATATTTCTCCTTAATGACGTGCACACAAATTATGGAAACTGATCAGTATTTGGACTTTGTGTATTTTCTTTATATGCAAGCTTCTTGGACGTATACATACCTTTTATGCATATTTCCTCTATATGCTGATTCAATCGATGAAGTGATCACGATACATATCTTCTCTATATGTTAAATATGTGTTGTTTGACTTATTATTCTTGCATATTTTCTCTATATGTGGACCTATTAGCTGGATTGCGATGTTTGAGCATATCTTCTCTATGTGCACAATTGGTTTTACCTGTACCTTATGCTTAGATCTGGTACTGTTGNATATATATATATATTCGTGAACTATACAGGTTTGGTAGTGAGTATCATTGACCACTCTCGCTACTACCTCACCGAGGTTAGTCATAATAATTACTGAGTACATGGGGTCGGTTGTACTCATACTACACTCTGCACTTAATTGTGCAGATCTAGGAGTTGGACCCAACTGAGCATTTAGAGTTGTAGTTGTTGATGTGGAGACCCGAGGTAGAGCTGCATCCTGATTATAGTCCCTGGTATCTCCTTCTATCCTTTCATTACTGTTATTGTATCAGATAATATTCTGTATTAGCAGACTTATATTCTTATGTTAGAGCTCATGACTCAGTGTTACCAGTTTCTCAGGATTTGTTGTAT